TAGGGTTTAGGGTTTTGGATAGACTTGCACAAACAAGGTTTGGAATGGTAAGTTTTTTTCAGGACTTCATGAGGAACACACAGATTATGCTCTTATAGCTTTAAAAAAAAAAAAAATTACGACTAAAGACCAGCGGAAGATAAACCTAGCTCTACCAGCAATACACACAGATCTGACAGCCTTATAGCTGAGAGGAAGAACTAGGGAAAGATCGGATAGTACGTTAGACMGATACCACATTACAGAGTTCACAACTTCGACAGGCCTTATAAGCCCAGGATTACGTCAAATAGGCTAACTTAGGCAGGGGTGAATGATGGTACATCCTTCTCGTGAGAAGTAATCAATGCCGTCTTTCGGGCCTTCCTACCATAAAGGGGAGGAGAGTGTGTGAGTACCTTTGTAATCATTTCTGACTTGCCGGTGGAATAGGAACCGGACTGATGCTCCCCAGAATGGAAAAGGAGCCAGAACCGTAAGGTTCTGTTTTTTTGGAAAAAACAACAACAACAACAACAACAACAACAAACAAACAAACAAACAAACAAACAAAAAAAAAAAAAAGAAAAAAAAAAGAAAAGGAAAAAACACCTCGAAGCAGTGCCATACAGCTAAAGAACACCAAGAATACAGGTAATTGGTGACTGTTCTTACTTTTTTTTCCCTGAAGGGGCTGGGCGGGGGGGGGGGGGGGAAGGAGGGGAAGAGAGGGGGAAGCGGGCTATGAATGTTATCAGACAAGTTTGGAATAAGATTCCGGCAACCTGACAACACATCACAGACAGGCACCGAACAAAAGGTATAGGTTTATTAACCTTTTTTTCAAACCTCTCTCTCCCATTTGGTTATTCTTGTTCACTTCACACTGTTCACAGTAGCAACGGCTAAATGGCTATTTAGTATTTACTTGGCAGCTTGGGGAGTAAGTACCACCTGATTTTCAACAAGGTGGAAATCTCCGTATCATCATCGAATATGTACATGTGGCTGCAGCTTGGTTGAGTTTTCTACTTGTTTATATTGGAATGGTATGGTGTGGCATTATGTGTGCATTTCGTAGGAGTACATGTCCATGTCCATATGCTGTTGAACATTAAATGACGCGCCGAGGACTGGACGTATACAACACGATGGTGGTAACAGAAAAAAAAAAAAAAAAAATGCTAAACAACTGTAAAAACTGTGTTTAAAAACAACGGGTTTTTTTTTTTTCGTTTTTGAAGAAGACAGAAATTTTGTTATACGGCATATCCAGTTGTTTCTTGTGGCTTGAGAAAATATACTCGTAGAGTCGAAAGATTCGATACTGAAAATGACAGACACAACAGTCGTGGTGTGCTTTTAGTGAGAGGACAAAAAAAAAACTGAGGGGTTGGGGTATGTGTGCAGAGCAGATAGATGGCCATGGTCGACTTCGATTGATCATCAAACTAAACTCACCTTCAATTCATCTGAGGAGAGAACGATCTCTTGATTGGCTGGGAAGTCTGATGTATTACTGCGCGTCATCACAAAGTTACATAAACGCAACATAATTCACAAAAAAAAAAAAAGCCTCAACCTCCCCTCTCCTCTCCCCTAGCACCTCCCCCCACCACCACCACCCTCAACCCAACACACCATTGCAACCACGCCACCATCCACAACAAATCACAGCAATTAAACACTCAATAGAACCAACATAATTCCAAAAAACCCTTAGCCATCCAAAAACCTCTCAACAACTCAATAGAACCACGATGCAAAAAAAAAAAAAAAAAAAAAAAACACGATGCAACCCTTCGTTCTCCAGTTTGCTGCGACAACGCCCAATGATTTGATTGCACTATTACCCAAAAGATTATAACTCGAAAATTAGTAGAAAATACAAAAAAAAAAAAAAAAAAGCACACAGTCACAGAGAGTCCGTCTGAGTGCGCGGGTAAGAGTGCCAGCGGGGGTTACGTGCTGACTACAGAGCGAAGTGTACGAGAATTGCCGTGTCCGTGGGTGTTGTGTGTGGTGTGTGTTGAGTTGGGACACTACAGCCTTGCAGGGGTGGGGTGGATATCACGACCGGTACGATTCCACTTTTAACACCGTGTCCTGGCTGTAGTGGTTAAGAGACTTGGCTCTTGAGGCCAAGGTCGTCGGTTCGAATCTGTGCTTGCACGGAGGGGGGCTTGGGAAGACGGGCCTCAGAGGATTGCATATATCTCTGCATGCAAATAACTCGAAATACGGTTTCCTTTTTCTGCCTTAAGCCGCCAGCACATGGCCCCGGCCTTGCTGAAAATGCAACTCGTATGAAAATTTCGGAGGCTCGGCCTAGCGGACCACAATGGCTGGCGGCGCCAGCCAGTAAAGAAAGAAAGCGCGCCGCCAGCCAAAAAAGAAAGAAAGTGCAGCGCTGGCGGTTCGGAAAAGCATGGCGCGCAGTAAGGCACCTCCACCAGGCCCGGGTGTACTCTTGATTTACATGTGCCTTGGCCTTTTTTTTCCCTGGTGGTAAGGATGGGGCAGAAGGACAAGGTGGGGCATGGAGGGGCCCGGAAAGGCGGAGAAGGAGAAAAGGGATGCGGCAGACTGCTCATGGAAGATGGGCCACACATCGGAAGACCATAACACCATAGCTAAGAGTCTCAGACCAAGTACCGTTAGCTTTTCTTTGTTTTTGCTTTTTTTTTCCTTTTTTTTTTGCTCTTTGTTTCCTTTTTTTGTTTTGCTCTTTTGTTTTCCTTTTTTTTTTTTTGCTCTTTTTTTTGCCTTTTTTTTTGCTTTTTTTTT